CCCGTCCCTCCCCGGACGCCGAGCGCTGAATCTTCGCGCAGGGGGATAAGACAACGCAATGCTGTTTTTCAGGTGCCTCCATTTGCTCTCACTTCTTCCCTCCCGAGCGGAGCCGAGGTTTTCTGCAGAAGCAGGAGACGGGGGCTCGGCTAGCCAGGGAGCCTGGCCGCTGCAGAGAACCCGCCTCGGGGAGGACACCCGGGAGGCCGGGCTGGAAGGATGAGGAGCTGCTGCCGTAGACTTCCGCCACAGCAGGAGGGATTTGAGTTAGACGCCGGGAAGGAGTTCCAGACTGTGAGGTGAGGAGCCGGAAGCTGCTTAAACTGGAGGCGTGTGTGGGTGTGGATGTGTGTTAGGGAGGGACGAGGGAGAGAGGACTGGAGCAAGGAAAAGCTTGCCCCTTTTCCCTAGCATGAAATGCCCATCCCCTTTCCTTTCTGCGGATCCAGCTCTGGTCCTCCTCCTAGAGCTGCTTTAAGCACGCCCCGCCCCCTGTGGGATACTCCTGGGACTAACGTTAGTTCATTCATCACAAATCAGTCTTGAGCCTCTTATGTGCCAGTTACCAGGACGACAAAGAGGAACACGGCTGTGGCAGTCTGGTTAGGGATAAGCGGCAGAGCCCAGAGCGAGATACCTTACAGCGACCACTGAGTACTGAGGGTGGGGCACTGGTTCCCCCTAGCTTGGGGGCAGACCTGAGGAACTTAGAAGTCCAGCAGATGTATGATGGCTGCGTTAAGGGAACGTGGTGTGGGTAGGGCTGAGATTGGGTTTCACATGCAGTGGCAGACACTGGAGGAAATCTGATGGGGTGGGGCAAGCTGTAATGTGTCCAGCCAGATACCCTCAGAGTCCCTTTATGCCAGTCTGTATTTGTTTTTGTGTTGGAAAGCAAAGAGTTCCAGAGATTTGGGCTTTTCTGACTGCTATTCAGTGGCTTTGTTGCTCTTCTGGCCTCATTTGTCTTCCTGTGAAATGGGAATGAGGCCTGCGCTTTGCATGGAACGCAAGGCGAATGGAGGGGGCGCTGAGCAGGTTAAGATGCTGGCGTGCTGGGAAGCCTCTTCAGCTTGGGTGTGGAGAGTGAATGACCTTGTCCAAGGATCTCCGAGGCCTGATGCTGGGGGAGGGGACTGTGTTCAACCCCATTTGCCTTTTATTTTCTTTGCGTCCTATAGTCTGGAGTAGTGGCAGCTACTCTGATGTCACCCTGTACCGAGTTCACTGGGGAGGTGGAGTGGCCCTTAAGCCCCACCCTGCAGATAAGGAGGCTGTGTCTCATCTCTGTGCCTGAGGAAGGGCTGTGAGGTGTGTGTGGTTTTATTCATTATGATTTTGAAGATGGCAAGAAGAGAAGGCAAGACAGATGGAGGCAAGGTGGAAGGTCCAGACATCTTTAAATATATGCTAGAATTGATTGTTCAGACTTTAGTGAGTTGGATGGAGGCTCATCTGAAATCACCGATGTTTTTAAATACCTAGCATTATTTTTCTTTAGTAAACTCAGGATATGGCTGCCTCTCCCCATTGACTCTCCCCATTCCTTGGCTGGGTATCTTCTGGACTATCCACTTCATTCCCTGCCTCCCAGTATGTATTCCACTGAGCAAGGCTGATTCTTGCTCTGTATTGGTCTAGCACCAGTAGTCAGCCCTAGCCACCAGCAGGGGTGGATTTCTCACCTTGGATCAGCTTTGAAGGCTTTTCCTGTGCATGTCTGTCTTTGTCTTCGCAGCTCTTTTTGTAAAGGTCTCAAGGGCAGAGACAGTGACTTCTGCTGCAAATCCTCAAGATAGCGGCCTTCTCAGCTCATCCATTTCAAGCCCTTTCCAGGAGGACCTGGCCACTGAAGGTACCACACAGTGTTAATTACATCTCTCTCCTGCATGCGGCCCCATTGGTCTCCTGGGATGCTTGGAACACCAGTGCCACGTTGAAATACTACTGCTTTCTCCTGGACTCCATGCCTTGTTTGTCCAGTCACCCAGCTAGAGGAATCATATAATGATGTTTTGGGGAATGGGGTCGTTCCTTCTCTCCATTTGTGTAAGCATCATTCACATTGACACTTTTCACCTGTCCCAGGGCTTCTCATAAGGGGTGGTCTCTGTGGGCTTTGTCACTTTCCCCATCACCACCCCCGAAAAAACTATCGCAGGAGACCAGAACATTGAAGCCAGTGATTTCTGTTTGGAAATAGGGTCGTCTTTTGCTGCTGACCCCCATCAAATCCCATCATGCCCACAGCCCTGTGCCCCCGAGTCTTGGCTCCAAAGGAAAGTGAGGAGCCCAGGAAAATGAGGAGCCCACCGGGAGAGAACCCTAGCCCCCAGGGTGAGCCTCCCAGCCCTGAGTCCTCCCGCCGCCTCTTCCGACGTTTCTGCTACCAGGAGGCGGCGGGCCCCCGGGAGGCCCTGCACCGCCTCTGGGACTTGTGCCGGGGCTGGCTGCGGCCTGAGAGGCACACCAAGGAACAGATCCTGGAGCTGCTGGTGCTGGAGCAGTTCCTGGCCATCCTGCCCCGGGAGATCCAGGGCTGGGTGAGGGCCCAGGAGCCCGAGAGTGGCGATCAGGCTGTGGCCGCTGTGGAGGCACTGGAACGAGAGCCGGGGAGACCCTGGCAGTGGGTGAGCAGAGGGGGCTGGGCTGGGCTGGGCTGGGCTGGCTGGGAGGATGGGAGGGGAGAGGGAGAGAGTGGGGCTGGGCGCCAGGTATGGAGAGAGGGCGGCCACCCTGTGCTTTGATGCTTTGGTGGGGTCACACATCCCCTGGCCGGGGATGAGGAATTCCGTCTGAGCTGCGTGCATCACTTGAGGCCCACAGTGAAGTTTGGTTTCCCAGGAAAGCAGATTCCGTTCCCTAAAGGCCCTAATTTGTGGCCATTACCCTTTATAACGCTGTCCAAGGCTGGGGCTGAGCTACTGGTGTCCGAGTCAGTGGTTAGCAAGCACCCAGGGAGGGAGGGGTTTGCTCAGTCCCTGGTGTAGCTGCTGGGCCTCACCTGGCCGGGGACCCTCTCCACCGAGCTCTGAAAAGCCCTTTCTGGGATTGCAGCTCAAGCACTGTGAAGACCCTGTGGTGATTGACGATGGGGACAGCCCTCCAGACCAGGAGCAGGAGCGGCTGCCAGCAGAGCCCCAGAGTGACCTTGCAAAGAGCCAGGACGCCCAGCCCTTGGCCCTGGCTCAGGGTTCCGGGCTTCCAAGCAAACTATCGGGCCAGCTCAGCGGGGACCCAGGTAGGGTGTCCAAGGAAGTGGGGGAGGGGCATTTATATATCACCCTGTGCACTTGGCTTAGCTCTTGACATTTTTAGTTCTTTCCTGCCCCCTGAGTAGCCTTGAACCATTTTTAGGGTCTGGTCCTTCCCTAGAGCAATTCAATCGGAATCTCACGTGAGCGTCCTCTTCATGGTGCCAGGTCTGCCCAGAGGGACCTCTCCTATAGGTGGGACCTTCTGAGGCTGTATCATCTCATCTCTTTGAGGGCACATCTCTAGGCTTTGTTTGGGAGCGGCCAGGCGCTGTCACTGTCCCAGTAGGGCCTGTGTGGGGAGATGAGTATGACATGTCCTCTTGTCTCTCTGAACCTCTCTTTCTCCATCTAAACAGCTGCTCTCAGTATTGTTACAATGTTACAAGGAAATATAAAAAATGCTTCCGGAAGCACAGAGTGATATTTTTGTAGCTTGGGGCATGAGTGTTGCCTAGAATATCTTAAATATCTGTACCAAGTACGCTGATGGCTACAGGCAAGTGGTTTTGGCAGCAGATACACTTGACTTTGACTCTTCTAGCCATGACCTGGGACATGCTTCTAAACTCTGCAAGCCTCAGTTTCCTGATCTGTCCTATGAAGATAATCATCACCTTTGTTGGGTTTTGTGGGTTTTTTGACGATTAAAGGATTATAAGCGTATGTTGGAGATACTGCAGGTTCAGTGACAGACCACCACAATAAAGCAAATATTGCAATAAAGTGAGTCACATGAGTTTTTTATTTCCCTAGTATGTAGAAAATTTATGTTTACACCGTAGTCAATTATTAAGTGTGCAATGGTATTAGGTCTAAAAAAAAAACCAATATACCTACTTTAATTAAAAAATACTTTATTGCTGAAAAAATACTTCATTGCTAACCATCATGTGAGCCTTCGGTGAGTCGAAATCTTTTTGCTGGTTAGAGGTCTTGCCTCCGTGTCGATGGCTGCAGACTGATCAGGATGGTGGTTGCTGAAGGTTGGAGAGACTGGTAATTTCTTCAAGTGAGACAACAATGTAGTTTTGCCTCATTAATTGACTCTTCCGTTCAGGAATGATTTCTCTATAACATGTGATGCTGTTTTATAACATTTTACCCATAATTTCTTGCCTTTCAAAATTGGAGTCTCTCAAACCCTGCCATTGCTTTATCAGCTAAGTTCACGGAATATCTAAATCCTTTGTTGTCATTGCAGCAGTCTTCACAGCATCTTCCCAGGAGTGGATTCCATCTCAAGAAGCCACTCTCTTTGCTCATCCATAAGAAGCAACTCCTCATCCGTTCAAGTTTTATCAGAAGGTTGTAGCAATTCGGTCACATCTTCAGGCTTGGCTTCTAATTCTAGTTCTCTTTGCTGTTTCCACCACATCTGCATTTACTTCCAGCACTGAGGTCTGAATCCCCTCAAAGCCATCCATGAGGGCTGGAATCAACCTCTTCTTCCAAATTCCTGTTAATGTTGATATCTTGATCTCTTCCAGTGAATCACGGTTGCCCTTAATGGTATCTAGAATGGTGAATCCTTTCTAGGAGGTTTAAAATGTGTTTTGTCCAGATCCATCGGAGGAATCACTGTCGAGGGCCGCTATATCCTTATCAAATGTATTTCTTAAATAATAAGACTTGAAAGCTGAAACTACTCTTTGATCCGTGGGCTGTAGAATGGATATTATGTTAGCAGGCATGAAAACTAATTTCCTTGTCCATCTCCATCAGAGCTCTTGGGTGACCATAGTCAATAAGCACCAATATTTTGAAAGGATTCTTTTTTCTGAGCGGTAGGTCTCAACAGTGGGCTTAAAATATTCAGTAAACCATGTTGCAACCAGATGTGTTGTCATCTAGGCTTTGTTGTCACATTTATAGAGCACAGGCAGGGTAGATACAGCATCATTTTTAAGGGTTCTAGGATTCTGGGAATGGTAAATGAGCACTGGCTTCAGCTTAAAGTCACCAGCTGCTTTAGCTGCTGACAAGAGAGTCAGCCTGCCTTTGAAGCCCTGAAGCCAGGCATTGACTTCTCTCTAGCTATGAAAGCCCTAGGCAGCATCTTCTTCTAATATAAGGCTATCTTGTCTACATTGAAAATCTGTTGTGTGGTGTAGACACCTTCATGAGTGATCTGTGCTGCATCTTCCGGATACCGTGCTGCATCTTCCGGATACCGTGCTGCATCTTCCGGATACCGTGCTGCAGCTTCCCCATCAGCACTGGCTGCCTCACCTTGCACTTACTTGCTAAGGGGACATCTTTCCTAAAACCTTGTGAACCGACCTCTGCTAACTTCAGACTTTTCTTTTGCAGCTTCCTCACCTCTCTGAGTCTTCATAGGATTGAAGAGAGTTAGGGCCTTGCTCTGGGTTAAACTTTAGCTTCAGAGAATGTCGTGGCTGTTTGATCTGTTCGGAGCACTAAAACTTAACACCATACCAGCAATACAGCTGTTTTGCTTTCTTTGTGTCATTTGTGTGCTCGTTGGAGTAGCACTTTTAGTTTCCTTCAAGGACTTTTCATTTGCCTTCACAACTTGGCTGACTGGTGCAAAAGGCCTAGCTTTCAGCCTGTCTCATCTTTTGACATGCCTTCCTCGCTGAGCTTTATCATTTCCATCTTTTGATTTAAAGTGAGAGACGTGTGGTTCTTCCTTTCACTTGAACACTTACAGGCCGTTGAAGGGTTATTAATTGACCTAATTTCAGTATTGTTGTGTCTCAGAGTAGAGAGGCCCGAGGAGAGGAAGAGAAATGGGGGAACAGCTGGTCTGTGGAGCGGTCAGAACACACAACATTTATCAGTTAGGTTCTCCATCTTATATGGAGACGGTTCATGGTGCCCTGAAATAATTACCACAGTAACGTCAAAGATCACTGTTCACAGATCACCGTTAACAGATAGAATCATAATGAAGACGTTTGAAATATCGCGAGAGTTAACCAAAAATGCGACAGGGAGACGTGAAATGAGCAAATGCTGCTGGGAAAATGGCACCAATTCACTAGCTTGATGCAGCGTTGCCACAAACCTTGTTTTTAAAAAATGTTATCATCTGCGAAGTTCAGTGAAACAAGATATGCCTGAGCAGGGGGCCTGAGCCACCCTTGATGTTTCAGTTGATCGTTATGGGAAAAAATGGTGCTCTCTGGTTGAAGAAAGTGACCTCTAGGGTGTGAGGGTTGGTTCAGGAGAACTGATCATGTTGTGCTATAGTTCTAGATGGAAAAAGAAAGCGTCCTTGGCATTATACTGAGCTTTTCAGTTTAAAGAAAGTTGCATATTAAATTTCTTTATCTGTGAAACTATCCTGGTTTCTGTACAAATCAAATTACCTCTCTGACCTCTCTTTGGTTACAAGTCAAGACAGACGTGCTAGTTTGTTCGGGCCGCCGTCACAAGATCGCACAGACTGGGCAGCTTAGACAACAGAAATGTATTGTCTCGTAGTTCTGAAGGCTGGAGTCCTAGATCAAGGTCTCTGCAGAGATGGTTTCTCCTAAGGCCTTTCTCCTTGGCTTCTAGACAGCTGCCCTCTCTCTGTGTCCTCACATGGTCTTCCTTCTGTGTATCTTGTGTCCTAATCTCCTGTGATTAGAGGAGCATCAGTCATGTGGGGTTAGGCTCCGCCCCCATTACCTCATTTGAATTTAATTAACCTCTTGAAAGACCCTGTGCCCAAATATAGTCCCATTCTGAGGTGCTGGGGGTTGGGACTTCAAAATACGAATTTGGCAGAGATGCAGTTCAGCTCATAGCCACAGCCATGAGAAACCACTATTTGCCGAAGTAAACAATGCTCGTGCAAGTAGCCTGGGTTCTGTAGGTGGTTGGTGGCCATGAGTGGGCCCTCGGGATGAGGGGGAAGAGCTTCAAGAATGGTAACAGCCTTCTCGGGTCCTGGTGAAGTTCTGAGACAAGCCAGCTACCATGGATGGGCTTTGGGTCAAAAGGCACAGCTCTTCCGTTTCCCTGAGGAATAATAAATGGACAAAGTAGGCATGATGAAAGTTAGCAGTTAGGAAGACCTTAAACATTCAGGTGATTTATCATCGCGAAACACTTCCAATAAAAGCCATATAGTTCGTAATCTTGAAGATTTTCCCCCAAATACAGATTTTGTATAGAGTCTAAAAGCCTTCCAAAGTAATCTTCAAAATGTTGATGTATTTTATCTCCCGAAAGATGGCAGGTGTTAGAGGAGAATTAAACTCTGTTTATCCCTTCCCACCCTTTTTCCCTGCTGGTAACCATAAGTTTGTTTTCAGTGTCTGTGAGTCAGTTTCTGTTTCGAGATTTGCAGCTTCTAACTGCTACATATAAAATAGATAACAGGGAACTATATTCAGTATATATCAGTATCTTGTAGTAATCTCTAATGAAAAGGAATTTGAAAAGGAATATATGTAATGTGTGTGTATGACTGAAACATGCTGTACACCAGAAATCGACAAACATTGTAAACTGACTTTACTTCAATTTTTAAAAAGTGGGAAAAAAGAAACACCTCTTACTAAAATCCACGCCCACCTAGCCTGAGCTTCCAGCAGCAGAGTGATGAGGGGAACCCCCCTACCTCATCCCACGCCCACAAATGTCGCTGCTGGCCGAGCTGGCTCCTGTCTCAGACTCTTGTTCCAAATAGCCGCACCTGCCCCTGCTGCTGACCGAAAGCTCTGTGCCCCAGGTGTGAAAGTTGAACGCTGGCTTCTAGTGTTAGCTTTGACACTGGTTTTGCACGATAGCCTGGGGTTAACTTCCTAGATTTTCTCTAAGCTGAGAAATGACAGTGCAGCTTTCCAAGTCTTACTCAGCGGGAGGAGCACCTTTTGAAACAAAGCTCACTTTGACACGGCTGCACCATGGGCCGGGTATATGGCTCACTTCTTGCACAAGCCTGAGCAAGTGCTAGTCAGGGGAGAGATCATATCAGAATATAGCTGAGACCCTGATCGCCCAGGATAAGGGAGCCTGAGATGACCCCGGTACCATGCTCTGCGCTTCTGTGTGACGGTGGTTAGGGCACTGTGCCAGGTGCTTTTCCAGGAGTGTCTAATAGTGATAACGGTCTTTCTTACGGAGCTTTGCAATTTATAAACCTTTAAATGTATAAATTTATAAGACAGTAATCTTCACTGCCAACAGGTCTTACTGACCCCTCCACTCTGGAGCTCTAACCTTTTTGTGGGTGTGTGGGGAGTGGTAATTAGGTTTATTTATGGAGCTTTCACCTTTTTTTTTTTTTTTTTTGGGTAGGGTCGGGGAGATAATTAGGTTGGTTGGTTTGTTGGTTTTAATGAGGGTACTGGAGATCGAACCCAAGACCTTGTGCATGCTAAGCATGAGCTCTACCACTGGGTTATACCCCTCCTCCCCAACCTTTATTTCAGATTGTGGGTGGTAAAGCTGAGGTCCCTGGACCTGCTAGGAGGCACGTAGCTAATTGGTGACAGCCACCTTGAACCCAAGCTTTCCGTGTTGAAGTCCCCATTGACATGTCTGAAAGCAGAGTGACAGAAATGCTTACGGTTTGCAAGTACTTTTTGTGTGCATCATCTGGTAATCTTCTTGCTACAGGTGAGAAAAGAGACCCAGGATTTTATGAGATATCCTTTTCTGATCTCTTTCAGTTCCGCAAGACACTTCCCTTCTTCAGGAAGCGAGTGTGAGGGACGCACAGCAGGTGACTGCCCTCCAGCTGCCCCCGGTGAGTGATTTCTGCAAGACTCTTTAAGAACTCCATGTTTGCCTCTCCTTAAGCTGCAGGGCAACTTTTCCAGGACCCCAGGCCAGCTTGCTGTCTGCCACACAGGCTGTTCAGCCCTGGCCCAGACAGACTAATACAGGAAGGACATGGGTTTATAAGGTGCCCTCCTGCATCCCTCCCGCCCACATGGTCCTGGCTCTTCCCTGTGCTGGCTGTTTGTCATCTCCTGGAGCCTTTGTGCAGACAGTGATGGTGGAAGACAGATGCCCTCGAGTCCTCATCTGTCGTCTTCCTGGCATCTCAGAGTTTCTTTCCTATGAAAAAAGAGACTCCACTCATTTCCTAGGGTAGTTTTTATTTAGTAATAATCACAGTGGTAACTATTTCAGCAATGTTAGGAAACGGAGGGGAAAATCACAGATCATTTCAACACCCTCCCACAACCGTTCAGTGGGTTTTCAGGGAGTTTCCTCTGCGTTTTCCCCTTCCACGTTTCCACACAAGGCTGACTTTCTCAGGTGTCCTCGCAGGATAGGGGCTGGTCTTAGTCTGGCAGGTGCTCTCAGTCTCCTCTTTCCCGCCCAGTTTCTGCCTTCAGCCGTGGTTTCCAACCATACCCCTTCGTTTTTCCTTTAACGCTTTCCGTTGGCTGGCATAAAATTTAGTTTTTACAGCATCTCCTTGTGCAAGAGTAGATTATATGAAGGTGTGGACCTCATTTCATTACTTGGTCCCTGGCAGATGGAGGACTGTCTGATGGACATCTGTACAGTAAACACAGCTCACGCTAGCTCTCAGGATGGTGCATTCGATAAGACCTTAAACTTGGGGAGTGCAGAGGGCTCAGGAGGGGAAGGAATTAGCCAGGGCACATGGGATGGGGCGTCTCCACTCCCTCAGCACTGTTCCCAGGGGCCCGGGTGCTCTGCGCATGTGTTGTCAGCGTCTGCCATGTACTGTGATGGCTGATGACAAATGATCCAAAGGAGGTGAAACGCACATGACCAGTATGACACACAAAGACATACTGAGAATTTAATATCTAATGAGCTTCGGTACTTATCTTTTGAGTTTCCCCAGGTTCCTGTAAATGCCATAGTGAACAGAAGATGTAGATTTTGATAAGTCATTGCTATTTCATCACTCAGTTGAAGATAGTTTCTGCATAGTGCGCTAAGAGTCCCGTAACCATCATGAAGTTCTTTTTGTTTTGTTTTGTTCTGTTTTTTGGTCCAAAGTAGACTTTAATGGTTTTGAGCTATTACAAACCAAGATTCAGTATAATCATATGTCCATGTATGGGAGGTGCATTATATAATGGGGTTTTTTTGAATTAAATTCTTTGGAGAATACAAGCAATGTTTATTGAAGGATAAACTTAAGATTAAAATATATCCTAATTTGAATATATGTGTACTCAAAAATGTATTTAATACACACAATTCAAGTCCAAAGGTAACTGCCACAATTACGTAGAACTAGACCCACGAAAGATTTTTTTTCGGGAAGGGGTATTTTAATACTGACGTTGTTTAGAATTGCTAACAGATACTGTTAGTAAAAAGAACACCTTTAATGATGTTAATATTGGTTTTAGATTTTAATATTTATTTTAAATTTTAGAAAATACAAGACTTACTGTTAGTATTCAGAGCAGACCATTTCCATCTTATCAACCTTGATATCCCACACTCCCTGACCAAACTATCCATTACCAGAAACTTTTAATGTTACATAACTTCTTTTTTCACCCAGCATTAATTTATTAGCTAACCAGCTAATACTTATCTTTTGAGAGAATTAAGTGATTTTTAATTTAGTTTTAATAATATAAGACAAATCTAGTGAAATAACACTAAGTGTAAAATACACATTTCATTCAAAGAATAGTAAGAATATAGTGTTGTTTTGCAGTTAAGTTTTAAGGTTGACATTAGTCGATTTCTCTGCAAAGGAACTTTACATAAGGGATTCTTTATGTCAATGAAAGAAAAAAATTAAATTAGTTTAAAGTATATAATAAGTTATTGAAAGGAATGTATATGGTTGAAATAACATGAACTAGAACTTCAGATTGTTTGGGGTGAAGATCTGTTTACTGTTGTCATTTCAAGAAAGTTATATAAATTGCTTTGTATAGCATGTAACATTTGGGAACTGACTGTCAGGCAGTATGATTCTGTGGAGCCTCAGCTAGGGTTCTGCATATATCAATGGTCCATTTTCATTGCTGAGTAGAATTCCTTAATACAGCTGTACTGCAGTTTGCTTAACCATTCACCTGTTGAAGGACATCTAGGTTTGTTTCCAGTTTGGGGCCATTTTGTGTAAGGCTGCTATAAACAGTTACATCTTTACAGTTTTCATTTCTTCGGGGTAAATGCCCAGGCATGCAATTGTCGGGTTGAGTGGCAACTACATATTTAGTTTTGTAGGACCACCATCTCCTTTTCCAGAGCAATGATACCATTTACATTCTTACGAGCAGTGTATGACCGACCTACATTCTCTACATCCTCCACTATTTGTTGTTGTCACTTTTTTTATTTTGGCCATTCTGATAAGCGGTATCTCATGATGGTTTGAATTTGCATTTTCCCTAGTGGCTAATGATATTGGACATCTTTTCATGTGCTTATCTGCCATCCCAATATCCTCTTATGTGAAATGTTTTTTCATGACTTTCATGTTCTTATTGAACCATTTACTTTTTTTTTTTTTTAATGTTGTTTCAAGAGCTCCCTATATATTCTAGGTAATTGTCCTTTGTTGGATATGTGTTTTGCAGATATTTCCTTTTGCTCTGGAACTTGTCTTCCCATCCTTTTAACATTTTTTTTTTCTAGCAGAGCAAAAGTGTTACATTGTCATTCAGTCCGGATTGTCAGTTTTTCCATTTTAAGAATCATGTTTTTGGTGTAAAGTCTGAGAACTCTTTGCTTAGCCTTAGACCCCAAAGAGTTTTCTCCTGTTTTTTAGTTATATAATTACACGTTTTACGTTTAAGTTAATGATCTATTTAATCCATAATCTGTGATCCATTTTCATATAGGTCCATGATCTCTAATTTTTGTATAAGGTGTGAGACTTAGGTCGAGCTTTGTATTTTTTTGCCAGTGGATATCCAGTTGCTCCAGCACCATTTGTTGAAGAGGTTATCTTTCCTCCATTGAATTGCTTTTGTTCCTTTGTAAAAAAAATCAGTTGTGCATATTTGTACAGGGCGATTCCTGGGTTCTCTGTTCTGTTTCATTGGTCTGTTTGTCTCTTTCTACTTAGTACTGCAGGATTTTGATTACTGTAACTACACATTATGTATTGAAATTGGGTAGATTGATTCCTCCCATTTTATTCTTTTTTTAAAGAATTATTTTAGCTATTTCACTTGGTTTGCCTTTGTCTGAATTTTAGAATAATCTTGTCCATATCTACAAAAGGTCTTACTGAGATTTTGATAGGAGTTTTGTTAAACCTGTATATCCATTTGGGGAACATTGACATTTCTGGCATCTGAATCTTTCAGTCTGTGAATGCAGTCTGCCTCTCCATTTATCCATTTCTTTGATCTCTTTGTTTCTGTTTGTAATTCTCAGCATATAAATTCTTCATGTGTTTTGTTCGATTTATACCTAGATTGTTCATTTTTTGAGCAATTGTAAGTGATAATATATTTTTAATTTTGATGACAACATACACGTTTAGAGTATAAGGAGTTGATTTTTATATGTTTACGTTATATTCTGTGACCTTGCTGGTTTGATGCACCCAGTTTAGGGAGGGTTTTGTTTGTTTGTTTAGAGTCCTGAATTTTCTATGTAGACAATCATGTCTTCTGCAAATAAGGGCAGTTTTATTTCTTTTTTTCCAGTTTGTATGCCTTTATTTCCTTTTCTTGCCTCATTGCCTTGGCTAGAACTTCTAGCACGGTGTCAGACAGCAGTGATGAGAGCAGACACCCATCCTGGCCTTTTTCCTGCTTAGGGTGAAAGCATTCAGTCTTTCACAATTAAGTATAATGTTCATTGTGAATTTTCTGTAAATTCTCTTTATCAGGTTGAGGAAGTTTCTCACTTTCTGTTTTTCTGGAGTTTTTATTATATGTGATTATTGAATTTTATCAAAGCCTTTTCTACTTCAGTTGATATGACCATGTGAATTTTCTTTGGGCTGTTAATATTGTGGGTTATATTGGTTGCTTTTTGAATATTGAACCAACCTTGCATCCCTGGAATAAACCCTTTCTTGTCATGGTACAAAGTTCTATTTATATATTGCTGAATTTTATTTGCTATTACTTTGTTAAGGATTTGTATATCTATATTCATGAGAAATACTGGTCAGTGGTTTTGTTTGTTTGTTTTCTTTGCTGTTTTTGTCTAGTTTTGGTCAGGGTAATACTAGTTTCAGAAGATGAATTGGAAAGTGTCTCCTCTCCTTATTTCCTAAAAGAGAGTGTGCAGAATTGTCAATTCTTTGAATATTTGATAGGATTCTCCAGTAAAACCAGATGAACCTGGGGGTGTGGTGGGGGTGGGGTGTGTGTGTGGTATTTCAATTATAGATTCAACTTACTGAATCATTACAGGGCTATTTATACTGTTTCTTGGTGGATGAGTTGTGATAGTGTGTGTTTTTTTAAATGATTGGTTTATTTAATCAAAGTAGTCAAATTTATGCATGAAGAGTTATTTGTAGTTTTTCTTTATCATCTTTTTGTTAGGTCTGCTATCTCCCTCGTTCATTCCTGATATTGAAAATTTATACTTTTTTTTTTGGTCAGTCTTGTTTTCAATTTTATTGATGTTTTCAAAGAACTAGCTCATTGTCCCATTGATTTTTCTCTGTTGCTTTTCTGTTTTCAATTTCATCGATTTCTGTTCTCATCTTCATTACTTACTTCATGCAGCATGTTTTGGTTGGCTTTACTATTCGCTTTCTAGGTTCTTGAGGTAGGAGCTTAGATTACTGGTTTGAGACTTTACCTCAAATGTAAGCATTTC